GACTGCATTGCTGCTGCAAATTCTCAATACATAGCATTGCAAAACTGGCATATGTCATAGAATTAGTAGTCCTGCATCTTTGGTAGTTTAAATGGTCTTAAAAATAAATTAATTCTCGCTATTTATAGATAAAAGTCTTAGATTACTATTCGCGTTGCTGCTTCAGTTATGTCAAGGTATCAACTGCACATTGTGAGCAGTTAACTAATCCTTTGTTTCTTATGTTTGTATTTGACATGATATTCTTTTTCTTAAATAGGGTCACAAGGAGTGGATTACAGAGGTTAATGTTCTGGGGGTTGTTGAACATCCAAATCTTGTCAGACTTATTGGCTACTGTGCAGAGGATGATGAGAGAGGAATCCAGCGGCTTCTTATTTATGAATTTATGCCAAATGGAAGTGTGGAAGACCATTTGTCAGTTAAGTCAGAAGCACCGCTCTCCTGGGCTATGAGATTAAAGATTGCCCAAGATGCTGCTCGTGGTTTAGCATACTTACATGAGGAAATGGAATTTCAGGTGATTTTGCTTTCCTTCCTAACATTCCCCCGATTTGATGATAGTTTGGTGCATCTTTCTCTTCTTTTAATTCATTCAGAGCAAAATTAGGCCATTTATTTATTCTTTCTTTTGTTATTAGAATTAGACCATTGAATGCTCCATGTGTCAAGTGTCTCTATTTTTGTGCTAATATTGTGGCTTTCAAGGCAAATTTAAGAGAACTTTTTTGCATAGTCTTATTGACCCATTTCAATATTGTAGATTATTTTCAGAGATTTCAAAGCTTCGAATATTCTCTTAGACGAGGATTGGAATGCTAAGTTGTCAGATTTTGGATTGGCTAGATTGGGTCCTTCAGAAGGATTAACTCATGTCTCAACAGCGGTATGTGCTCATAAAATGTTTGCTGCGATCCCCCTTATAGATGTTAAGTGCTAACACGGTCCTCATTGTGCATGAATTATTGCATCCTTCGTGTAAAATGACATCTTTATTTTTGTTCAGCTCATCATGTGATTGAATATGAGTAACTTTTGCATGACCTCCACTGTTGAAGATAAAAGAAAACTGACTTGTAATGGTAATTGTTGATCTATGATATTGGAGTAGCTTGGCCCCACCTCAACATGTTGTGTCTTATTTCAAATGGTAGCAGCTGACGCATTCAAATAAATCAAAACTGGTAACAGAGTTGGATGCGTCTAACTTTTAAAGATTCAAGCTATTTAACTTTGCGCATTTGCTCAGAAAAAATGTTTTTGTATATTCTTACTGAACTATCCACAAATCCAGGTGATGAAGTTGTTCATGAAGAATGGAACTCTGCGCTTTAATCTTAGAGTAGCTTCACTAGCACATCATAACAATCCTAGTTTCAGCTCTTTAAAAGAAACATATGTGTTTGGATTGCACATTATTTACATCTTATTTACACACACTGATTTGCTTATATTATCAACACATTTTTAACCACCTTTTTATATCATATATATTTCATAAAAAAAGTGCTACAGTATTTTTTCAAACATATGTGTGTTTTTAATATATATATATCTATATATTTTGCAAATGTCTTAAGAGCATTGAAGTTTATGAAAGGTAATTATGGGGCCATTCTTACTTAGTTACTTGAAACAAACGTGCATTTATCAGGTTGTTGGAACAATGGGATATGCAGCTCCAGAATACATTCAAACTGGTCGTCTAACATCTAAGAGTGATGTATGGAGTTATGGGGTCTTTTTATATGAACTCATCACAGGACGACGGCCATTGGATCGCAATCGACCCAGAAATGAACAAAAGCTCTTAGAATGGGTAAAGCCATACTTATCAGATGCTAAAAAGTTTCAACAGATTTTAGACCCAAGGCTTGAAAGGAAACACTTAATCAAGTCAGCTCACAAACTGTCTCTTGTCGCCAATCGGTGCTTGGCCAGACATGCAAAAACACGCCCAAAAATGAGTGAAGTGGTGGCAATGGTAAACCAAGTGGTGGCGGCATCGGTGGAAATAGGCAGTCCTCGCCCCCCTTTGAAGGCTGTGGGGCAAAAAGAAACTGAAGAGGGAGCTGGGAAGAAGAACAAAAGGAGGATCATGGACGCAAGGGTTGTAGAGGGCGGTTGGTTAGTTCGGATCTGGTCATCAAAGCATGTGAAAACATACTGATTGCTATGGGGCCCCCCCGGAGTATGAGAGGATTTGTAGGGGGTCTTCTTTTTGGGTACATATATAGCAGGTTAGTGTGTTTCCATAGACTGATGAAGCTATGGTATTTCTTGAGTCCATTCTATTATACCTTTAAACCTGAAAGAGGCTATCAATTTTTCGTTTACCTCTGGTGACATCTAACTACATCAAATGCAAGCGAAATATGCGAATTGCAGGAACTTCTAGGGATGGGAAGAGATGCTTGGGTGCTGAATTTGATAGAAAGGATTTAGATGGTGTCTGTAATGTTCGACGTGTAAAAAAAATGTGAAAGTGTCAGATTGGTAACCATATGATTTGTTGTTTAAGGGTTCTTGGAGATGCCCAAAGGTCCATCGGTTCTTTAATGCGTCTCTATGTATAGAAAAACATGGTGGAACGTTTTTTTTATGCTTTCATTCGTAAAATTGATAATGTCGCTGTTGCACCCTCCATGTTACGATGGAATGTACTCCAATAACGGGAATATCTTAAAAGTTCTCTGAAAGATAAATCTGGATTGGGGTTTTGGGCACTTCACTCCCATGGTTCAAAGCTGCAGTCGTGGTTCGGACGGTTCCACATTGGTCTCGGCATTGTCAGTTAGAAACGCAAATTTTTGAAACATTTAATAGTTTAAAAATTGTAAAAAAAATGATCAACAAAAATAATACAAATTTAGCAAAAATAATGAAAATTTGAGTTGACTCGAGATAATTTGAGACAGGGTGGTCATTTTTATGCATCTCGGAGACATTTCGATCGAGTTTTTAACGATTTATTATTTCGAAATCGTTTCGTTTCGATATCAAACAGAAAGTCTCGTTTCGACATCGGAACGGAATTCGATGATGATTCGGCCGAGTCTTTGAACCATGTTCACTGCAAAAAAGGGTCGCTCGGTGACCATCTGTTTCCAGTGATGAGGATGAGGATCATAGTAAAGTTCCGTGAAAGATTGGAATCATCCCCAGGAATACGCTATACGCAGGGAGCTAAATGCTTGCCCCAAAAAATGGCCTCATTTATTCTTTGATTCTCGATGCCTACCAATTATTACCACCGCCCCAAAAAAAAAAAAAAAAAAGAGGAAAAAAAGGGACTTGAGCTGCACAAGTTGCGTGCGTGTTAAAATGACAGTTAACGCTCGGACGCATTTTGGTCTGGGCTGCCGTCCGTGTTCCATGAATTATTAATAAGACTGACTTGGGAACCTGAGACGGCTTGGCAGGGGTTTGATGTCTTGAAATGCGCTTGCCAGCTCATTACTTGTAATTAAACAACGTCAAGGATTATAAAAATATTAATTATTTCGGCTGGCTTGCCTTTTTGCTTACTGATGATGTCAGTTTGCACTCAGTCAGTCAAGTGTCCCCATTTGAGAAACAAGAAAACTTTCATATATTATTATTTATTATTTCGGGTGTGCATGCTGTGCTGCAGGGGCTGTTACGTATATTGGCTTCAAAATAAGGAAGGATTTTTGTACTACTACGAGTATTATAATTACGACAGTTTCCATTCGTTATGCTTTTGAGTGCTTGGTTAACAATGGAAATACGAATGAAAAAAAGTCAAAAAGGCCGCCTTCTGTTATTGAATGCGTATGCGGCCATCTTTCTTTTAATAAGTTTAATGATTTTGACGCCTTGAGAAAAAAAATTCATCTACTTTTTTTTTTTTTGTGGATCAAAAGACGCAAATACTTTAGAGTTTACCATATGCAAAATACTTATGAAAAAAAAGAATAACTTTTAAAGTGTTTGGATACCCAAATTATTCTAAATAAAATATTTCGCTTGCATCATAAACACAATTCTCAACTCATCTTTTTATATTCTCAATCACCTTTTTACCTCGCAACAAAAAGTGCTACAGTAATTATTTCAAATAATACTCTATTCATTTCTTTGTATATATCCCTTTCAATGCATTAAAATAACACGACTTCTTGTCGAATGCAAAGTCATAAACCCATAAAAATCACTCTCTATGACAACAAATAGCCACAAAAGTCATCTTTTACTATCATTTAAGATCTAATACCTTAAGAAGAGTGCAACAATCAATGATATGTAAATTTGAAGGTATTTCACAAACAAATGTGTGTGGCTCATGTTGAATTATACATTTTTATAAGGGTTAAGAATGAATATGGATTAGATTATTTGTTTAACTACAAATGGGATTTAACTTTTTTGCCTCTAAAAAAATTAATCTCATAGGTAGGTCACGTGATGGATTTAGGGTAAAAAATTGTCGAAAATCTAGATTAGAATAAAAAATTGCCAACTTGATTTTGTAAGAGATGTAAAGTTACTATTTTAAAAGTAAAGAATAAAATAATTCATTTGACGAAAACATGAAGAACGTTTTGAACTATTTTTCCAATAAAATATTTTAACCCACAAAAACAAAAGCTTGACAATGTATACAACTAATTCAAATTTTGCACATGTGTCGTGCATCAAATTATAATAATATATATATATATACTGTCAGTATTAGTGTATATAGGATTAATTCTAAAAATAATTGAATAAAGATGTAGAAAAGTCCCAAGGAAAATTGAAACTTAGAAATATCATTCCACCCTTTTATTTCACCTTACTGATTTGAAGAAGGGTTCCACCGCCAGTAAAAGAGAAAGCGCGTTTATCTTGTTTGGTTTGGCGCGGCTTCGTGGGATTTCTTGTGAATAGAAAAAAAAAAAAAAAAAAAAAAAAGGTGAGAGCAGAAGGATTCAAGAAAAAGGCAAAAGGACAAGAAAAGAAAAAAGAGCGAGAATATAAGGATTCAAGAAAAGGGCGGCTTAAAACTAACGGCACGTTTCGCTCCGCTCAAAAGCCACGGCCACCACCCAAATGCTACTCGAATCAAAGCTTTCTTCTTGGTGTCTACGGCTCTATGGGCATTGAGTAGGACAAGCAGCGCAGGCCAAAAGCCATTTCAATTTCTACACCAAATTTATTCTTCCAAATTTGCCACCTCATTTGACACGCCCGCCACTACCACTTCCATTACCATTACCTCCCGAAAATCGTACATATAACCCTTTCAAATTCCCCATACTCGCCATCTGTTTCCCTCCTCCGTCCTCCCACCCTCGCCCAACTAGACATTCCATTCTTCTCCCTTGCCATCCAGCTGATTGGCAGCTGTCTGTCTGAAGCTCAGGGTGAGATCACACTTCTTTTTTCCTTGGATTGATCTCTCTCTCTCGCTATCACTCTTTTTCCTTGTGATTGCAGTTAAATTGCTTGTTAGATTGTTTTCTTGGTAGTTAGTGTTGCAATTATACTCTCCTGATCGATCCTTATATCTTGTTTAGGATCACTTGATGCTAAAGTTATCGAATTATTCACTAGTGTTCGGTTTGTACAGCTTTTAATCGCGGGAACCCGAAAACATTTAGATGCTCGGAGATGTATACATGTATGCATGTATATATCCTATGCACGGGATGGGATGCAGATGATTGATCTTTTCTTCGTTTGAGTCTAATATCTGGCAGTACAAATACTTGTTTCTTTTTTCTTTATATTTCAAAATTCAGGCTTGTCTTTAGCGTGTACTCGTATGTATCACTTGCTTATATCTTCTCTCCTCTTCCTCTCTATTCATAAAGTTGTAATCTCTCATAATCACCTTTTTAATTTTCAAAACTATCCATTTTATTGATCAGTCAAAGTCATAAATTTTGGTTTAATTTTGTGGATATCACTTGTGCAATCCACCTGGTAGTTATTTCGAAGGATTTAGCTCCCACGCGCAATCATTTACCTATTAATTTCTGATCCTATTCATTAGGGGGGTTTTTTTTTTCCCAATTCCTTGTTTGCTATCATGCCTCTAGATGTCCAGTGTCATAGATACACATGGTATTAATTGCGTCTATATTCTTCCTCCTTCCTTTTTCATCCTTACATGATCTTCTATTAGTTTTTATTCTCGTTCTTTTGTCGTGCGTATATGGATTTTTCAAAGCACGAGATTCCTTCTCCCTTTTCCATTGAATGCAAGACGAAACAGAAACATGAAGAAGGGAATTAAATTGTTCTACTGGGTGACATAATTTTAAGGGACAATATTAAGAGTGAAAAGAAAAACTTGAAGATATTAAGATTCCTTTTTTTCCCCCTTTTTCAAAGGACTTGTGGTTCCAGCTTCTTCCCTTTATTTCCTGATTGACAATGCATGAGTATGTTGATTAAGGAAGCAATGTGGCTACTCTTAGCGTTTGTTTCTTGGTTAGCTTGGTTAGACATGCCAGCTTGAATCAATCACACTTATACATCATCAAGCTACTGTTTTATAACTGGCATACAGTGGGACTTGGCAAAATTAGTAGGATGCCATTGATTGGCTTAAACATAGAAAAGAATAGCTGTTCAACTAGGCTTGTTTTGCATTTTCTAATTCCAAGTCATGTTTGCATGGCTGTATTTTATTAACTTTTCTTTAGTATGTGCCTTTATTTTCTCTGTCCTCTAAACCTTTATGCTGAATATGAGTAAGACAGTCAACATAAGAAAGAGAGTTGGGTCAAATCCCTGGGAAACTAAGCTCTTAGTGAGTACCATCCTTCTGTACTTTTATGAATGAGGAGGATTTTTGTATCTGCTGACGACTCTCCATTAGGTTTGGAATTGTTGACATGATTATGGACATCTAACTATTGTTGTTAAATTTCATCTTTTAATGATGCTGGAGTAGGATCAGTGGTTATTTAGGCTAGTCGTAGTATTACATATACGCAGATATATTGATATACTTTTTTGTCCTGTGTGCACAAGTTTATATGTTTGCATGTTTCTGTTGTCTGTCAGATCATTCTTGCTTCCTTGATCAATAAAGATATCTTTAGAATGAACATCTCATGCTTCTTTACCCAAGTTTGTTCAAGTATTATGGCAAGAAGTTGTTATATGCAAGGCTAGCTTACTTGGAGCCTAGTGTCCGTTAAAAGCAGATATTTCTTGAGTTTGGAAGAAAAGAAGCAATTATGTCTGAACCGGGATCAGATTATACTCCATGGGGTTTAAATATTTTTGATGTAGACCATAATTTCACTTCCAATTACTACGGGAATAGCAATCCATATGATGTAAACATCTCTTCTGAACAATATATGAGCGACTGTGATTATGATACTACTGGACATGCCTTGGGAGATGAATTCACACGGTTATCAGTTGGAGACTCTCCTGAAACCTTGCCTATAATACATGAATACTATCAAGGCTCGACTGCCAGTGAAGACTGTCACAGTCCATCAAGGCCCTACTATTCTGGTATGTGATTTCGTGTCTTTGTCTCTACTGGCATACTATATGTACTGTTTTTGATGTGATAACTTATGTACGTCAATGTACTGTAGGTTATAGATTTGGTCCAGTAGATATGGATGATGCAGCACCTTCAACTTCCTATTCTGGTCCTGAAGATGGATCTTTTGATAGGGAAATGTATTCTTATGATTTGGAGATAACAGAGGAGTCTGAGCTTGATGGAGAGGTCGGAAAGAGGCTAAACCAAATGATTCCTGTTCCTGTAAGTATTGCTTGTATAAAGTACAATGACATTTTTCATAATCTCTCAAGTTCAATGAATGTATGAAGCGCAAATCTGGATATGATTTCTTATGTTTACCTTTTACATTAGGGTATGCCACCCTGGTTTTTAATTTGAATCAAAAGTTCTTTTACTTAAACATCATCTCTCTACATCTACGCTTTGAGTTCTTTCTGTGGGGCTTCAGGGGCAGCATCTTTTTTCCTCTAACGTTTAATTAATATGGAGGCGATAGTTTTTTGTGTTGAATTGCATGCTTTTAACGGGTTCTGGTTGGATGCTGGGTCCTGGATTCAAAGTTACCTTAAAAGGGACTCCATGTTTTTACCCATTCTACCAGGAAGTGTGGTGTGACAATTTTAGTTGTGCTGAGGTTGTAGCTTTTCTGTAGTACATGAGAAGCACTCCTCTGCTGTAGAGTTTGATTGAGGAGATGTTGAGTGTCACTATACATTCTTAATCGTTCAGGTGCAAATGTTTTGATTTTAATGTTAATTTATCATCTTAGTTCAATGTTTTGGCTGGACTTATGTCAACTTTTCATACATTAAACCCCTCTCGCTGATTGCTTACTTTTTTTTGTGTTCACTTAGTGACACTATTCCCCAGCCTTTTGATGTAAAACTAAAATGATGCATATATTGGAAACTATCTAAATAAAGATTATAAGCTGGAGACCCTAGAGGCTTATCTTTAGCCTTTTTGTGGATTCTTATTCTGCTTGAGCTTCATTTTGAGATGCTTAATTTTGTTTGAGAAGATTGGTATGATATGCAACCTAACAAAGTTGTCTTATCTGTTACCCCATATCTACAAAAAGATTATGATTTCTTTAAACATGCGAAGTTACGTATTATTTTAGAATTGTCAGGTAGGCATCAGGTAATTAATTGATTTGGAAATTCATGTGCTTGAAGATGGCTTAAGCTTTCTAAAATTAGCTAGATGCATACATGAGTATTTAATTGGTTTTTAATGCAGCATGTTCCTAGAATTAATGGAGACATTCCTTCAGTTCATGAAGCAACTTCTGATCACCAAAGGCTGCTGGATAGGTAACCATACATTTCTTTTCTCGCTCTGTCCCTTTTTCTGGGTTTCTAGCCATCATATACTGAAGGTAAAATACTTAGCATATATTCACAGAGGGAAGCTGGTTGGCATGTTCCGCATATATTCTACTGGCTCTCTACCATTTTTGGGATGTCCCTCATCTTAAGGAAAGAATTGGAACACTATGGTCAATATTTCTAGGATCAGAATTTTTAATCTGCATGCTAAATTTTTCATGATTAGGTTTGTTTCTATATGATACACACGTTACAAAGGTTTGAGGTTGGATGATGTTTTTGTTTAAGATTGCAGTTATATGATTTGGTAGAGCACAAAGTTCAAGGAGATGGCAACTGTCAGGTTAGTTATGATGGCTGAAGCTTGAGTGTTCAATGTATATTGTTTTTTATGCTGAGAAAACAAAGCTAATACTCTGTATGAAGTTACTGTTTCATTATACATCCTATTCACCAAAAACAGTTTGTAATGTGTGTTTGTTTCTGAGTTATGCTACTTGGTTAATATATGTTATAGTGAAGTAAAAAGAGAAGAATATTTATCTTGCTGTATGCCACATTATAAGAATATAAGTGTGTTACGTGCTTGGTCCTGCTAATCAGTAGAGTGTATTATGTCAACCAAAATGGTGAATACCCCAAGCTAATAACTTAATAAGTATACCATTTAAAGTTGGGTGGGGGATTGTTGTTCATTGAATGAAGTAGGTTATCTTAGTTAATCTGTGTTCTTAGCATGGGACTCCTAGAATTATCCGCTTTGCTTTCATAAGACTGTTATGCCATCAGTTGACTGGGCTCTTTAGGCTTGCATCATAGGTTGTAAATACTCCCTGCTTTTCACACCTTTTGTGTGGTAATTCTTTCTCTCCTGCTTTAGATGTCTTAAGAACTCAATACTGATAAGCAAACAAGATATGCTTCTTTTTTTTAGCATGGACTACAACCAATATTGGTTTTGAAACTTTTTTCTAGTCTTCCTCTTGCTATTTTATATATTAGATTGATGAAATAAAATTTTTGCACCATACAGCATAGAATATGTGTAGTTACTTGCGCATGTGGTACATGGTAAGGTTGCTAATCCACAAGTACAAGCACCTGGACTGTTACTAGAGTTACCAGGTTAGATCATGCATGTACGGCTATTCTCTTTAGTTTTATGTTGTTACTTTGCTTGTATATGTATACAAGAACCTGGAACGTCACTAGAAGTACCAGGTATGACATGCATCTACAGCGGTTCTGTTTAGTTTTTGTTGCTACTTTGCTTTTCATGCATGAGTTAAATAAGGTACATTCAGTATCCTCAAAACAAAATGCATGCCTATATATTTGTTTTATGAAATTTAATATTGCATGCAATTATTTCCTATTCTTGAGCTCTGTCTTCTCGATGTTGTAACCTTCTTTTGTTTATTGACCTGTTTATTTTTGTAAGCCTCTTCTTTTGCTCATATATGGTTGGTCATTGTGGTTTACAGGAAAAGATAAATATCTTGAATTCAATACAGGAACTTTACTGTTCATGGAATTCTACTTCTTTTTCTTCTTTTCTCTTTATGGTGTCTATTAATTTTACTTTCTCTTTTTACCACAGTTTCGGGCTTTATCAGATCAAGTTTATCGTACCCCAGAACACCATGAATCTGTCCGGCAGCAAGTTGTCAGTCAGGTGGTTGTCCCGGATATTTATATATTTCTAGAAAGATCTTATGTTTTGCTTGAGAATTACGTATTACAGTGTCTATACCTAATTTCATTTCTTGCAATGATGTTATCATCAGCTTCAAGCTCACCCGGAGATGTACGAGGGATATGTTCCTATGGAGTATAGTGAATATATAAACAGGATGTCCAAGTATATTTCAATGTCCTTGCAGTTTCTTTTATTGTCTTAGGAACTTTCAAGTTGGAATCACTTATTTTTACCCTTTGATTTTGACCAAACCAGGAATGGTGAGTGGGGTGATCATGTTACATTGCAAGCAGCTGCACATATGGTAATTTTATCGTTTTCCATTCTCTTTGTGTAGGGATTCCTTCCTGCTTGTTTTTTTACCATTATTGATCGGAACCTGGTTTTGTCCTTTGAACATGCAAGCTTGAGAGATAAGCTAATTTGTTGAGTTTGTTGTGGCTTCCGAATGCCTTTTTGGGACAAAGTTTGAGTGTGCTAGTGATAATTCCATCTGTTTCAAAATGTTTTCTTCAAGAATTGCATTTCCGTAGGATGGTGTTTTTTTCTTGTGTTTTCTCGGCATTTTGATTTTGGGCACCTAATTGTGATGCACTTTTCATTTTTATGCGTTGAGCTTGGTTTTCAAGGGAAACTGATTAGCATCTCAATTGATTCTGTAGATAATCTTTCTGCCAGTATTGTATAATCTTAATACGTTCAGTTAAAGAACATCTGTTTCATAGATATCATTGCTTGTGAAAGGATTATTAAAGTTTGAACTGCTCTATTTTTGTCCTTTTCTTCTGGCAGTATGGCATGAAGATTTTTGTCGTTACTTCATTTAGAGGCACTTGTTACATTGAGATTCTTCCGAAGGTTCAGAAGTCGAAAAGAGGCAAGTTATGGTTGTTCTTTATGTCATACATACAAGAAAATAGCTACCCTGGCTAAGGCTGCATATACCTTATCCTTCCTAGTTCCTGCACGGGTGGGACTGTAATGTAATGCTTTTCCTCATGACCTAGGACTTGGTGCCTAATTATTTATTTATTTATGGATCAGTTCCCATTAGTTATTGATCTTTCACTCGAATATGTCACGCTAAATGTGTTGGACTAGTTTACTGCTGAGGGATCCATGGTGCATTATTGGTCATTTCTTTTTGCTTGCCCATTTTTCTGGAATAGATTTAGATTCCTCTTCTTTTGATAATATATTTCAGTTAGCTAGTGTTACAAATGGTAAGACGAGTTGCAGCTTTTGTACAGATGTATTGTGTTGGAAGTTACGAGACTAAAGTGTCAAGCAAGATGAAGCTCGGGAATACCATTTATGAAGACTATGTTGCTTAAGAAATCTACCATAAGTTTCATTTTGTAGCTGACTTTTTTACCTAATGGGAGCGTGCGATTTCTTTGTTTCATTGGATTAGTCAATAAACCGAGCTTGAGATTACACACTGAAGTTCATTTCTTTAGCAAATTGATCACAAGCAAAATTTTATGCACATGAACTTGTTCCTTTGTCAATTATTTGTGAACGGCAAAATATTCTTTGATAGACGTAGGACAAAGTTTAAGTTAAGGGTTTCAAATTTATTTGAACGTTATCCATAAATTAGTAGAATATCTGGGCAAGCTCATCGTCGTAATCTTGGGCTCATTTATTTACGCTTGTAAGTAGTAGTTCGGACTGGGTTCGTATTTGTTTAGATAATTTGTAAGCGAATGTTACTTTACATGCAGTGTGATGATAATATGGTGCTATTGAAGTCATTGTATTTAATTTATTTTTTCTTATGCAGTAATTTGCCTCAGTTTTTGGTCGGAGGTGCACTACAACTCAATTTATCCCCAAGGAGGTGATTCTTCTAATCTCGTCTCTTTATTGGCGTGACCATGCATCAACCATGAATTACAACGGGCAAGTTTAGTTCGTTTCTAAAACCCGAGCTGTGATATTACCCACCCTTTTCTGTGCAGATCTGCTTTTGAGTGATTTTAAGAAGAAGAAGAAGTGGCGGTGGTTTGGAAACAAGCACTAGAGGAGTTGGACAGTACCAGATATACGCATATTTGTTAGTGCGAAACTCTCTGGATGGTTATATAGTCGCAGATGCAAGATTGACTTATATGTATGTTTATGCGTTATCGTATAGTATAGTTTGCGGTGTGGTATAGGTCACATTCAATCTATCATGTGGTGTCTACGTCATTGACCCTGTGACTAAGAGGTGCATGCTAATTTTCCCATCCTAGCATGTTTGGGGCTTAATAAAGTTGGATTACGGTGTAATTCGATATAGTAAACGATGAAAAATAATAGGGCATCATCAAGATTTATGTGAGAGAAACATTTCAACTTGTGAGGAGTATGCTATACATTTTTTTTCTTTTGTGTGGATGTGTGTGTGTGTGTGTATCTATATATACTTGGACAACGGTTGCAGTTAAAGTCGCTGGATGATATCTGCAGTTAGGAGCAGAAGGAAGGCATCACAATTAGATTGCAAACTTTGATGGGCAGAATCACTGATTGATTATTACTTTAGAGAAGTTCAAAGTTGCATAATAAATGACTAAAGCTTCAAAGTTGCACAAAATGACCAACTTCCCAGCCCAGACTGCATCTCTTTTTAATGTAACACTACTGAAATAGGAAAGCATAAGTGGGGATTCTCAGGAAAAGTACAGAATTTGCGATGCTGTCTTGTTTAAGGATGAAGAACCCTCTGTGGCTGTTGGATGAAAACCGCAAGCAGCGGAGAAATGCAGGCAAAATGATGGGCGTGCGTGGCGATGAGAAGCTTTGGGAGCCGGAGATTGGGACCAGGAAACAATTTCCTTGCGTAGGATCAGTCGAGCACAAACAGTTTGTCAGGTTCTACACGTACACGTAGCGTTAAAAATATAGAAAGTACATTTTTGTGAGTTCTTTATATATTACGTTAAAAAAAAAATGAAATGCGTACACTGATTTGAACCTTACATTTATTTTTTAACGAATAAATAATGACCCCGAGCCTTTGAAAGACGGTCACGATGCGCGAGGGTGCCTGCCCCAAAGCCCCCTGAGGTACATCAGTAGCCGGTTCCGGTGTAGCAGCTGGAGTGCAACTTTGCAATGTATAAATTATTATGTATTTAATTATTTAATCATCATGAAGGTCAAACCGAGATTAATTAAGACAGGAGCATCCTATAGAGGAAAGTGGCAGTGAGTAGGGGACCACATGAATAGAGTGGGTACCACTTGACTCAAATTCAGGTTTTCGGAGAAATTGATGTTAAGTTTCGAGTACATTCTATTCTTCGAGCATGGGTCATGTTTGACATCACCCACCTTCCTGAGCTAAAGTGGCATCCGCCGCCGTCGACCATTTCTTTTCATTTCTCTCATTCCTTTGGGAGTTTGGGTTTATTTTATTAGAAAATGCCACCGGATGCTGGTATGGCTGCCGGAGTTTTAATCAGTCTTATTCACCCAAATCACGATAACAATTATAGTAATGATCCAACTAATCTTCTGCAATGAAAACTAATATAATTCTATTCATTTAAAAGACTTGAAGAGTAATGTAATCTTCCTCACCATCATGATGCATCATCATTCATTCCTGCTGCGAAGGAAGAAGACTTTAAATAAAAAGCCATGCATATATTTATATATATCTGTAACACCCAACACACCCCCCCCCCCAAGGGGACAGGGGGAAAGAAAAAGAAGGAAGCACAAACTTAAACCCTAACCCCCCCACACCCCCCGCGAAAGCATATGCTGCTACGGGGGTAGGTATATACGTCCATATATGGAAATGTCATAGATCAGGCTTCAGAGGTGCCAAAAGTCATCGCGATTTTTTGCAGATGACTCAGCATGCTCCTCTCCCCTAGGGGACGGCTCCAACAGCAACGCCGTATACGGCATCTGGCTGTACGCATTGATCCCACCGCTTAACTCCGTCGGCGGTGGCTGGCGCAGGTCCAACCTGCACATGGGCGGTGGCGGGACCGCGAAAAAGCCCCCCATGCCGGGGATAACCACAGCGGATGGATGCACCCTGGTCACCGTCGCATAGGTCGACTCACTCAGGTGGGACGTTGGGAGACTCCCGACGCTGGTGACCATGGTCTTGGGGAAAGTGCCCGAACCGGTGGCAGCGACGACGGCAGGCTCTGCTTGGCGTAGGAGCCACTCGATGGTCTCGCCGTCGGAGCGATGGCCGAGCTCCCTGGTCAGCTGGAAGATGCGGGCGGCGCAGAGGGCCGGCATCCGGACGCGGCGGCCCCGGCCATTCACCTTGGTGTGGCGGTCCTTGGGCTTTTTGGGAGGCACCGGCTGCTCAGGCTGTTGCTGCTCGATGATGGAGAGGCTGCTGGCATTGGCGGTGTCGTCGTCGGCGGCGGCGCCGGCTGCTACGGAAGAGAGAAGTTGGAGGTCGGGGGATGTGGCAGAGAGGTCAGGGTCTGGGACGTTGTCCTTAGCCTGGGAATGGGAGCCGTTGGTGCGAGGATGGAGGACCATCTCTGAGCCCCTGTTGAGAAAAGATACGTAAAAAGGAAGAGAAAAGAGATTAATAAAATAAAAATAATAATTACTTAGAAAAAAGAGAAGAAGAAACAGAAGGCTTAGGGCTGAAGAGCGAGAGCGGAGGAGTTGTACTATGAAGCTGAGTTGAGAGGGATTCTGATGACCCCACTACTGAAAAGCCAGAGGCATTTTTATAAGCAGGAGAAGGAGAAAGGAGGGGATTTTATACTAGTAGAAGGAGACGGAGAAGGGGAAGGCGGAGGGGGGGCCCTGGGGCTGGGTGGGGCGGGGGAAAGTAAAAAAAAAAACTAAAAAGTGTGGACAGTGGATAATGTACTGCGGGAAGAGTAAATTGAAGCGTACGTCTGATGAGAGAGTTGTGAGGGATTTTGGTTTGTGGGGTAGGTTTGCTTTCTGCCGGACATCTCTGTCCTGCTCTTGGATATCGTGTCGCCTTCTGGGGGGCCCACGGACTCTCTCAGTCACCCATCATTGAATTAATTGTCATTTTGCAGTCAATCCAGGGTCCGTCCTACTCACTCACACTCACTTCAGTTCTTCACTTCCCTCTCTTTGGCATTTGTATGCTGACTCCCACACATTACATTTACATTACATTACATTAAAAGTGTATCAAATTTCCAGTGGGATTTGTGTGATCTCTCCTCGTGCCTGGTGAGGTGAGGGAGGCAATTATTATTATTGGATTCATTAGTAACGGCAATATTTCTTTTTTCTTTTTTCTTTTTCCTTTGCATGGATAGAAGATTATTTGAATAATTATTTTTTTTAAATTAAAAAACATATTTTTAATGAGATATATACCGTTCAAAAAGATAATTAAAAATGCGTTTATAATACAAGTAAAATAAAGTATATAAATAATATTTTTTCCTTCTCCTCCGGCACACAGGATCATGACTGCTGTTTGTTCATTGTTGGAAACCCAATCTTTACCTTCTGTTGTTTCCAAGTACAGACAGACAGATAGATAGATACTCCTTCAAGACATCATCTACTCAGCATTGACCATATGAGCCTGCATCCCCAAATTCAATTCCATTCCATCCCAAAAATTAGCCACACCATCTTTAGTGACGTTGAAGGTCAGGGTTCAATCTCTGTCTCTTTTAAATTTGCCATATTATATGGCTGGTTTTAGTTGACCATTTTCTCTTATTCCTTTAGGCTAGATTAGGTTATAGGACATCTATCATTGTCAAAAAAAAAAAAAAAGTTCCATCTCAAAAATTAGAAAGTTCTAACAAAATACGCAGTGAACCATCTAATGTTCACGAGTAGGGTTGTAATCCAGTCGAACCGAGCCCGAGTATTGCCATACTCGAGCTCGACTCGACATAGAGATAGGGGTGCTCGAGCTCGAGCGAGTAGTATTATTGGAGCTCGAGCTCGAGCTCGAAACTTGCTCTCAGTACTCGAGCTCGACTCGCATGGGCTCGAGTCTATTCGAGCATTCGAGCCTTATCGAGCTCGAGTTATTAAATTCCATTTTTTTTATAATTTTTGAGTGAAAAGTCATTATTGCCCTTTTAAAATTTTTATATAATTTGAAACATTTCGTAAATTTGACAATTTTTTTGGGTATAATGGTAATTTTATATATTAAATAATGTATATAATTTTAATAATAATATATTAAATAATTAAAATTAATATACTCGATAAGCCTTGTCGAGCCTCCGAGCATTTCTTCTGGATGCTCGAGCTCGACTCGATAGCCTTATCAAGCTGCTCGAGCTCGACTCGAACTCGGTTTGACCGACTTCGAGTCAAGCTTTTGACTGAACTGCTCGCGAGCAACTCGGTTCGATTACAACCCTACTCACGAGTGCGTGCGTTGGCTAGTCAACTAGGGGTCAAACAACAATCATTTTTAGGTACCCCTTTGTTTTGTTTAGTAAAGTAGTAGTTTAAATGAAAATTAGGATGTACGCGCAATGCTATGGTAAGTAATGATTTATTTTTTTCTTTCCACAATGTGCAAGAAAAGAGTTTTACAATGAATGCACTGGGGAAATAGTAGTAATTGATTTTATCATCGAAGGTGAAACCTTTTGTTAAGGCACGTCAAAGCATTATATTTCATGTCTGAGGGGCATAAATAATCACTATTATTGTTCTGAATGAACAAAACTCATGTATGAATCACTATTGCTATGGGAATTATTGAACTTCTACGTTGCACGTGAAATCCAGCACGTTCAATCAAATTCATATTAACAAAGTTAGACAGCATATATAATTTTGTTTATTAAGAACAAAATTATGCAAAATGTTTCAGGATCGGGATTTGACTGAGGCTCAGCCCATAAAAATACAATGCCTATTTTGAAAGAAATTTTGTCTGGGCCACAAGGACGAGACTATGGAGTTGGTTTTTAATCAAGTTAGCCCATTGTCAGCAGCGTGGCGAGAGCATCTTTTTTTTTTTTTTTTTTTTTTTGCGGGGGCGGGGCCGGGGGCGTTCCATTGCCAACTGCCAAGTCAGTTATTGATTCAGCCCATTATCCACTGATATCCGGGCCTCCACTCTGTTCTAGTCGGTCGTAACCTCTAAATGAGGGCTGTTTCAGGCTTAAGCCAGTCCAGATTAAAGTTTACTACTATTCAATATCCTTTGGGATGGGATATTGTTTTTTTTCCACCAATTTTGAGGTAAATAAATAACAGCCTAAAACCCCACCGCCTCAACTCTGCTGGAAACTCTCTCATGTTTTATCTTCAATTCTCTGATGTTCTTTTGGATATGACCTTATCTTCGACAGCGCACTCTCATAATACAACACTCAGTCGCTCTTCTGAGTTGAAGCAG